TTTCGGTCGTAGGATCACTCAGAGGCATATTGGGAGTGCGTGGGATCACAAAGAGCCTAGATTCAACAAGCCACCTATAGGCCTTGTACGAAAGGATATCAAAAGTCTACAGAGCTAGCTACAGGGAGTGTCTCAATATATACCTATCCTAGTCGGGTCCGAATTCGGATCCGACCTCGGGCGAATGGCTGATGAAGGGCGGCAGGTACTTCCTCCGATCCGGCTCTGGGATTGGCTCAATACTTGGCGAAGTTGTAACATCGTTACAACCACTAGGAAACCTTCCTACAAAAGGAGACGCTAAAAGAGATATTTAAAGCTATAGCCTACACAAAAGACAACCTATCTATAAGGATACCTGCTATTAAAGGCAAGGAGACCTTTAGAGAAAAATGCCAAGCCTTTAGAGAAGATCTCTTCCCTCTACTTGTTACAAGTAACAAGAAGGATTCTCTCCTTGACGCGGGGTGACGAGGTTGAAGACCAACCACGTCCACGTCAGAAGGTAATAACATCGCGGGGCTTGGGGTCACGTGATGTGTGCTCCCGCCAAGAGCCCTGCTCCCGGAGCACGGGTGGCCTTGGGAGAATTGTGCTCCCACTGCTCCCATGGTAGAGGGAGAATAGGGAGCATTAGGACAGAACACGATGGGTATAAGAATGGGTTGGATTTCATTATTACACTCGTTGTGGTCAACTCTTATAAGTTCTTCTCTTACACAGATTGATACTTAGTTATTCTATCTTCTAATAGAATTAGTTTGTCTTACTAACCCGGTTAACTCCTATAACTTCTCTCTACCTTATCGCCAGACAATTACCTCACGGATACTTCAGCCAAATGGCCTCGCCCTAACCCGGACCGAGACTAGGTAAGTATAGTTTCTGATAGTGTTAGGAAACCCCGTGTAACACTACTACTATCTACCCTAGCCCCACTACTAAATACCTACAAAGGAGATAGTAGATAGGAGTAGCTAGCTTTAACAAAAGAAGAGCTTAAATTCCCCTGCTTAAGCGTAAAAGCTACCTCGCTAGGACTAGATTTAATTAGCTAGGATATAGTCTAAAAAGTCTATTAGGCATAGCTAGAATTACTTTTTAAGATATATTTAGCTCTATTTAATTTTGGCTACTAACTAAAGTGCTAGAGAAAAGCTAAAGGAGTTATTCTAAAGAAACCTAGAAAGCTAGACTACTCTATCCCAAAGGCATATAGAGTTATCTTACTCTTAAGCTGCCTAGGGAAAGTACTAGAAAGACTATTTGCAAGACAATTAGGAGCACTAGTAGAAACAATAGACTTACTCCACCCTACCTAGTTAGGCGGGAGATTAAAGAAATCAGCAATTGACGCCGCTCTCCTATTCTATAATAATATACAGCAGCAGAAAAAGAAGTATAGGACTACTATAACTATATTTCTAGACATAAAAGGAGCCTTTAATCACGTGGCTAAAAACAGGCTACTAGAAAATATAAAGGATCAAGGACTTCCCTGCTGCCTGCTATCCTGGACTAAATCCTTCCTAGAAAACAGACTACTAGAGCTATCCTTTGATGGCCAAGTAGAAGATCTATAGGAGGTAAACACTAGTACGCCCTAAGGCAGCCCTGCTTCTCGAATACTATTTTTAATCTACACAAAACTACTATTTTAGTTAATTATAATAAATAGAAATATCTACTCCTCTTCTGATATAGACGACCTACAGATATTAGTATCTACAACATCTATTAAGAAAAACGTTAAATTACTAGAAAAAGAGACCCAAAAACTCTTTAACCTAGCAGAGGAGCTAGCAATCAAATTCGACAGCTCAAAGACTGAACTAGTAAATTGGACTAGATCAAAAAAGGATCAAGATTCTCTCACACTACCCACCCAGGAGACGTTTCAACCAAAACAGCAAATTAGATGGCTAGGCATCTACTTTGACAAAGCCCTTAAGTTCAAGGATCACTGCTTTATTAGAAATCAACAGGCAAGCCAAGCCTTTACTCGGCTAAGCAGACTAGCAAATAGCAATAAAGGCCTATC